ATTGCTCAAGGGTCGTCCTAAAAGCACCACTCTCTTGCCTGATTTTCCCAGAACTCATTAATTGCAGAACTCATTAACCATTTTTGCTGTGACTCATTTCGTTCCTAATTATTATTTTACATTATTTTTCAGTGCAGAAACCAAGAGGGGTGGATCTCATTTCAGAAGCCATGCAGTGGCCTCTGGAGTGTTGAAGGGTCAGAAAGTTCGCAGATTTCCATCTCAGGGAAATAACATTTTTCTAGGTTGAGTGCTGCCTGATTGGCTATTTGGCGTTTCTGGCTATGAAAATGGAAGACTAGGCCCTGAGGCTTTTCTGGAGCAGTGATTCTCAACCGGGCTGCATATCCGAGTTCCCCGGGGGCCTTTGAAATCATACCAGCGCTTCACTCCACCCCCAGGGATTCCCATTTAATGGGACTAGCTTGGGCATTGGTGTTTTGGGTTTTGTTGTTGTTTTTTACTGTGCATTAGGTGAAAGTTTACAGAGCAAATTAGTTTCCCATTTGATAGTTTGTACATAAAGTGTTCCATAACATTGGTTTCATTCCCCACAATGTGTCAGCATTCTCCTCATTTCTGTCAGAGGTTCCCTGTTGGCATTTTTTAAAGTTCCGTGGGAGATTCTAACATGCAGCTAGTGTTGAAGGATTGAGAACTAATGCCTAGGAATTCTGCAGAGTCCTGGGAAGAAAGAACAGCAAGAGGTCAAGCGTTAGCAAATATAAATTAAGGAGCCCATGCAAAATAAATTCAACATACATTCCACTGGGCACCTGCACTGGGGATGAAGAGATGATCAAGACAGAGTTCCTGTCCTTTCCTCTGAGTTGCACAGACAGGCCCTTGTGCAGCCGATAAAAGCCCAGGCAGATGTGCCGCGGGCCACAGCAATGCGATGGGGCACAGGGAGGAAGGCCTCTGCCTGGGCATGTCAGAGATTGCGTCCCAGAGGAGCCGACTTTTGAGTTGTGCCTTGAGGAAGAATGGAGCTTGGATAGGTGGTGAAAGACATTGTGACCTGTAAGAGCACCTCAGTCACCCGGCACCTCTGGCTTGCCCCACACTGTGTCACACTTTCTTGTTTACTTCTAAATATTTACATTGTGCTGAGTGTGTGTCAGGTACTTGAACGAGCAGACATTTTCTTTACTAACCCCAAACCCAAACCCACTGCCATTGAGTCAATTCTGACTCATAGCGACCATATAGGACAGAGAGAACTGCCCCATAGAGTTTCCAAGGAGTGCCTGGTGGATTTGAACTGCTGACCTTTTGGTTAGCAGCTGTAGCACTTAACCACTACACCACCAGGGTTTCCAATTTCTTTACTAGCAGTGTCTATTCAAGTTACCCGGGGAACCTCTTCAAATGCAGATTTCTAGGTTCTTCCTCTGATCTAGGGAATCTGAGTCTGGAGTGGGGGAGGTTTATATATATATGTGTATGTGGGTGTGGGTGTGGGTATGTGTTTTGAACTACCTCCCTAGATGATTCTGCTACCCACCCCCATGACCTCACCCTCACTCCCCCTCCCCCACCTCTAAATGAGCTCTCTGCAGTAAAAAAAGAAAAAAAAAAAAGAAAAGCCCCGTTTTGTAGTATCTGCCGATTTCTGTGGGCGTAAATACTCCCACCATGGCCAATTTCAAGCTACCAACAGTTAAACAATTGGCTTGCAAAGTTCCTGAATATTTAACAACTAGCTCTCACAAGCCATTAAGAGCTAGTTGAGAGTACCAATACACCACTCCCCCGTTGCTCAGCCTCCCCCATTGGTTAAGAACCACTACATTACAAGAAACTGTAGGGTCAAAAAAAGATAATATCAAATAGAACACCCTTAATGGCTTTTGTGCTGTAAATGTGATTTCTTAAAAACACTGTGTGTGGATAACTCTTAGAGCAAACTTGGTAATACACTCTTAGAGGGGAGAGATCAGACTGCCTGGACAGGCAGTGAAGGTAACAGGGTCTTAGGTAGCCTCTTACCTTGTCTAAATAGTGGGACTTCACCACTTGATGTCACTCTAATACTTGCTTAAGCCTCTGGAAACCTCAGGCAAGATAATTCTCTCCCTTGCTGAAAATACTGTCATTCTTTAACTTTTAAATCTCAGGATGGTGGTTATGAAATTACATGACATTTGTTGTTCTTTACTTAAAAGCAATTATATATATATAGTTTTTTCTTGATAACAAGATTGATAATATGCAAAGAGGCAGGAGACAAGGACAAAGAGGCATTAGATTTGGAATCACAAAACTTTGATTTAGCACAAGACTTTGATTTACCAGGCAGGTGAACTAGGATAAGATTCTTAACCTTTCCAAGCCCCAGTGTCCTCATCTATAAAATGGGGGGAAAAATAGTTGTAACTTTTACCACAGAGACTGGGAATAAGTCAATTCAGTTGGCAGGTGCCAAATCGCCCACTGTGTACTAGGCTCTGAGAAAAAAGATGAAGGAGACACAGTTCCTTCCTTCAAGGAGCCCAGAGTCTAGCCTTGGGGACAAACATCGGAACAAGAGAATATAGGATAATGGTGAACAGACCCTTCTTAAGCCTCTGCAGTTCAGTGTTATCTGATATTGTCTAATACCTAAATAAAATTTCTCGCGTAGTAGCTTTTGTGTTAGGGGAAGAAAATGAAGTGTTGATCTTACTATTTCAATCATAAAGGGTCACTCTAACCTTGTCCCCACCCTTCATGCAAACTTGGTCCAGAGGAATATCATTGTTGAGAAGGAAAACTGAAGCTACTAGAATATTCTCAGCTGTAAGTAACAGACGCAAAACTCTAATGGATCTCGATGATGAGGTTGAATGTATTGATTGCCTCGAAGACCTAGAATGCTTGGCGGTAGGGGGCACTTTAGGCGTGGTTTGATTCAAAGGTTCATAAGAGATCGTCGGGACACCAGCTCTGTTTCTCTGAGATCCTCCTGAGTTTTACATTCTTTATTGGGTCAGCTTCAAGCTGGCTTCCTTCCTGTTATTTACAGTCTTCTACCATCACTTTAATGGAGTCTTACTTGGAGAAGAAGATAAACAAAATTTAACCTTCTGTTGTGCCTGTGGTTGATTTAGTGAGTTCATATCAAGAACTAAGTAATTTATTAAATGTTTCTACAGCCCCAACCACACAAGGGATGCTTTCAGAAGAGAGTGACCAGGCAGTGAGGGAAATTGCTGAGGTGGGGAATGAGGAAGAGGAGGTTGGGAGGGGTGGGGAATAGACACAGGCATGGTGTTCAGAGAGCTTCAAGATGGGCCTGTGGAAGAGGGTTCACATGCCAGCACTCACTTCCTTTATGATGATGGGCACATCACTTTCCCCTCTGTAAGCCTCAGTTTCCTGCTGTTTCTCAATGGATGTTTAGGATCAGTATCAGTCACGGTTCTTGGGTTGCAAGCAACAGAAACTAATGCTGGCCAAATAATCAAAAGTTATACTGAAGTAACAGGTATACAAGAAGACATCAGAGTGGTAGGGACTTTGGCAACCTGGAAAGGGCAGGCCCCACTGTAAGAATTTACATTCAAGAAAAAAAGTTATGCACTGTGCTGGCCAAACAAAATTTGTTTACAGGCCACCTTCAGCCTACGGGCCCCCAGTCTGCAACCGCTTGCTACAGGAAAAAGCCCAAATTCCTTGTGTGGCACCAAGCTCCTGCCAGCCCGAGGGGTTCTCAAACTCCAGACTAGAAACTCAATTCTAGGCAATGGAAAACAACTAGATGACAAGATACTAGGGGATGGAGACTGTCTGGTTCTTTCTCAAGTCTGTGGCCCCCAGCACAAGGCCCAGGACAGAGGTAGCCTCATGGAGTGCCCCAAATCTAGGCTCTTTGTTCAGATAGGAGTTGGTTCGGGTTCATTTGATAATCTAGCCAACATTACACAGTTCACCAATGTCTGATCCCAGAGATAGATGGGCACCTGGTCATGGGTCCATCAGGAAGTGGGGGTGGATAAAAGGGCAGGAACTACCCTCTTCTAGGTAGGCAGGTATTCACCAGCTGAAACCCGCAACAGCCTGTGCCTCAGCCCCATGCCTAGAACTACTCCCCTTACATGTTTCCAATATACCACCTTCCCCTTCCCACTCTCAGGAACCCAGAGTTCAGGCCAATACCAATGTGGCTATGCACTAAATCCCCCACTAGCTACAAGAGAAGGGACTGTGTTCTGGTAATTTCTAGGTCTTCAGCACTGGACCTGGCCCATACTGGATGTTTCTTTAAGTGCTTAGAGTTGCTAGCTAACCACTAAAAACCATGTTTGCCCTTCTGGAAATAATCATGACCTGGGTCAGGAAAGCGAGGCTCAATCACTGAGGCTGGGCTGACCTTCTCCATCTCTGGTCCTCAGTTTCCCCATCTCCAAGGAGAGGGAGGACCACTAAAGGACCATCTGGTTCCTCCAACATCCTCTGGGTTCCTTGCTGCTGCCTTGTGAGTCCTGAAAATAGCTGTAATTTTGACCAGGGTTGAAAGAGGGGTGGCACTGATGGATAGAAATGGCCCCTCACACTTAGGAGACACACTATCACATCTGTGGACTGCCGTGGAGAAGGGGGAAGGCAATAAAGGAGGGTGAGTGAGGGAGCCTGCAGTGATCAAGCAATGACAAAGTTGTAGCAGGAGCAGATACAGGAGATTGAAGTCAGACACCTGTTTGTGTGTTGCTGAGCCACACTTAACTGTGACCCAGGCTAGTCCCTTCATCTGAGAGCCTTCATTTCTTCCTTTGTCCAAGGAGTGAACAAGCAAAATGGAAGAGATGTTGAATCTGGTTTTGAGCTCTCAGGAGCTAATGTAACAGTAAGCCATACTCTGGGCTCTAAGATGGGGTTACCCTCAGAAGGGATGTAAAGGGGGCGAAGTCAGTGTGCCACTCCCTTTTACCCCAGCTGAGGGCCCAATACTTCTAAGCCCAACTCCCCCCTGCCCTATGCTATCAGACCACAGCGAGAAATGCAGACTTGACAAGAGACAATGCAAATTAAAGTTTTATGTGAAATTTTGTAAATTTGTATGCAGTGGACTGCGGCTGCCTGTCCACGAGGCTTTCCTGGTCAGGGAGCCACTGCTCAGCACTTATTGTAGACGGCGGCGCAGCCCCGCTCCTGGAACTCTTCCTTGCTGACCCAGAGCTGCTGGAAGGCCTGCAGTGAGGCCAGAATGGAGCCGCCGGTCCACACTGAGGTCTTCCTCTCAGGAGCGGCAGCCACAGCGGGGCTATCACCAGGGCAGAGGAGGCTCAGCTCCCTCTGGAAGCGCTCGGGGAAGCCATCTAGCATGGTGCAGCCCCCACACAGCAGCACGTTGGCGGCCATCTCCTCCTTGAAGCCTGCCTCCTGGCAGTGGCCCAGGCAGGCAGCGGTGAGCGCAGGGAGGCCGGGCTGGCTGCAGCCCACCAGGGAGGGCTTGAAGAGCATCTCAGAGCACCGGAAGCGCTCCTGGCCGATGGTGATGAGCTGGCCGTCGGGGAGTTCATACTCCACGTGCAGCTCCTCCAGGGGCAGTCTAAGCTCCTCATCCGGCATGAGGGCCGCGTAGCAGCACTTCTTCTTGATGTGCTCGATGATGTGCAGGTGGTCGTCCGTGAACTTGTGGCCCGCCTCGTTCAGCAGCTGCATCAGGTAGTTGGTGAGGTCGCTCCCTGCGTAGTCGGCACGCATCGTCAGACCCGGCAGCACATCGCCCTCCGAGATGGGCACCACGTGTGAGACACCATGCCCGCTCTCCACCACCAGCCCCGAGGTCTTGCCGTAGGAGTAGATGGACAGCAGCGACTGGGACGTCACGTGCATGGCGGGGATGCTGAAGGTCTCGAACAGGAGCTCCGCATACTTCTCCCGGTTGCTGCTGGGGCTGAGCGGAGGGTCGGAGACGAGCACGGCGTGCTCCTCAGGGAGGATCTTCATGGCCGTGTGGAAGATGTACTCCCAGATGTTCTGGACGCAGTCCCAGTCCACCACGATGCCGTGCTTTAGCGGGTTAACCAGCTTGAGAGGCACTTCTGTGTTGAGCAGCTCGTGGCCCACGAAGGTCTCCTTGCGGGTGTCACCGGCGTGGGCTGCCTCGGGGCAGCGCTTGCCCACAGTGGAGGAGATGAAGTAGGTGGGCCTCGGCTCCCCCCCGTAGCCACACTTACAGTACTGGGAGCCCAGGTCGATGATGAGCGCCTTGATCTTACGCACCTTCTTGGGCTTCACCTTCAGCTGGGCGGCTGAACCTGTGTCTCGGATGCCAGTATCAGAGCCTGGCAGTGCTCCTGCCTCTCCAGGGTCACCCTGAGCAGCGCCCATGGGGCTAGGGCTGTTCCTTGTCGCCATCTGCCTTCCTTGCTCACCTTCTCACATCCACATCCCAGAGCTCCCTGAGGAGAAATGAGAAGGCTTACCTCCAGCAGTGTCTTGGCAACCACCCAGGATTGTGATGTCACTGGGGCTAGTCCACTCAGGTAGCTGGGGGAAGGGCTCGGCCTTGGCGGCCCTTGGTCTGTTCTCCCCATCCCCACTCCAACTGGAGTTGCTACAGGACTGAACAGTGGCCAGCATAGTTATTGAAATCCAAGCACCCTGTAGTCTCAGAGGTTTCTGCCCCCTCCCCTTCCATCCCCACTCCTAACTCGTTTCAGGGTTTCTGACCCGTTCCTTCAAGTTGGACCCCCGTGCTGAGAATTTGAATTTCTAGCAAGTTCCCTGTTGAGAATTTGCTTTTCCACCCCAGATATACTGAATCAGAGTCTACATTTTAACAAGATCCCCAGGTAATTCTTATATGTAACTTCCTGGGAACTTGTTAGAAAAACAAATTCTCAGCAGGGGTTCGAATTGGAACTGCCTCTAATCCTGCCTCATTAACATCATAGAGGTAGGATTTACAATACATAGGAAAATCACATCAGATGACAAAATGGTGGATAACCACACAATACTGGGAATCATGGCCTAGCCAAGTCAACACACATTTTTGGGGGACAGAATTCAATCCATAACAAGAAGTTAATACGAAAGATATGTCGGTATTTGTTAAGTAGCTAAGAGAAGAATATCCCAAGCAGAGAGCACAGCCTGAGCAAAGACTCTAAGGTGTGTGTGTGGGGGGTGGGCGGGGGGTGGGTGTTTAGAAATGTAGTGTAATGGACAAGGCTAGAGAGGTCACAGGAACCCATGGAGGAGGGTATCAAATGCTAGAAAAGCTTGGATTAAATTGAGGACAGTTGGGGAACCAATGAAGACTTGAAGCATGAGTAGTCAGATTTGCCTTCTAAAAGTATTTTAGAAAGGTTTGTCTTTGGCTGTAATATAGAGAATGGATGAGAGGGATAAGACTAGAAGCTGAGAGCCCTTGAAGAAATCCTTATAAGACTTGAAGGTGGCCTGAAGTAGGTAGTGTGGAAGAAAGGAAGGGACAGGTTCTAGAGAAGTTTAAAAGTCAGAATCTATTCTAACCAGTTAGTTCTCCAACTGTCCGCAATTTAATCTGTGCTTGTACTCCTAGCATTTGAGGCCCTCCCACTTGGGCACCTGTGACCTCTCTAGCCTCAACTCCTGTACTTAGATTACATGTGGGGAGTGAGGGAGAGGAAAGGATGAGTCCTTTATCTTTGTCCAAGCAAAGAAAGATGGCCTGTCACGCAGAAGGAATAAATTCATTAGGTTCCTATAGGAACCTCCATCCTAAACTGTTCCCCTCCCCTGTAAAAAAAAAAAAAAAAAAAAAAAGACAGATTAGGGCTTTGGTAGTGAAGAACTAAGAGAAAAATGGGAAGAGGAACAGCTAGGGCTGAGGGAGTTTTGTTGGAAAATTGAGCAGAAGTAACGGAGGGATTAGGGGACATGGATAGGAAAGAAAAGAGAGATACAGTTAAGAAATATTGCTGTGGACCATGTAAGAATGCTAATGAACTCATTTTGGAATTTTTGTTTGCTGAATTGTTTCTTGGAACATGGTGCTATGAAACTGGATTATGTGGATAAATTATAAGGGTTACAATTATGAGCATCGTGATCTAGAAACTCTATTGGTGGTATCACAAAATCACAGAACTTAAGGATTAGACACTTGCATCCCCTCTAGAACATTCCACCCAGTAATCTGGCATAGACAGCTCACCACATTTGGCCAGCTTTGAGTAATAAACTTTTCCTCACATTGGATTGTTATCTGTACTTCTCTGAAGAAGGCACTAATTGGTTTTGGGTTTACTTCTGAGTCTGTGCAGGGTAAGCTGGTTCTTCCATGTGATAGCTCTTCTGCTATTTAAGGACTGTGTTCCTGTGAGCCTACTCTTCTTCCACTCCTTAAGGAAAGACAGCACAGAAGAGAAGAGCAGGCAAAGAATTTAACTCAGGAGGACTGGGTTCAAATCTATAGCTTCATTATTTTTATCTGTATGATCTTTAAACCTCTCAAAACGTTAGCTGAATCTGATTACAGTGGTACTATGCCCCCTCAGCAACTTGGTCCCTATCCTTAGTCTCCAGGTTTCTAACTTGAGCAACTTGGTGGATGGTGGTGCCCCTCATAGAAATAAGGACTGCAGGGAGAAGAGCAGGTATGCAGGGAAAGATAATGAGTTCTATTTGGGGTGTGCTGACTTAGAGATGCCAATAGACCACTAGGCTGTCTAGAGATAAGTCTAGAAATGAGGAAAAGAAAGCAGCTAGATCTAGATTTGAGTCCTCAATAGAGTCTCTCCACCCTCTGAAGAAGAGTTCCTTTCCCTTCCACCTCAAGGAAAATGGGCACAGGCTTGGTACTTGGCTTATCACATTGGGGGCTGAGCTTTAGGAAGGAGCAAAGAAATTCAAAGTGTCTGTTCAGCAAAGAATCCTCTCTCTACTGGGAGTTCCTAATTGAAACTCTCATTCCCTTAGCTTTCATGTCTCTTCCCTCCTCCCTAGGTCATCATGTGGTTAGTGGTATCAGTGATGGAAGAATACAGAAATTGTTGGCACACTACACCCAAAACTGCCACTGCCTGGCACATACCCCGCCCCCCGCAACTTGTCACCAGCCATTTAAGGTGTTTGTGGGCTCCCTGCAGTCTCTGGGGAGGACCCTCTAGGTAGAGACACTCTATATTGCTCAGACTATCTTGGGTCTCATTTTCTTATGAGATCACACAGACTTTTGCTCCTCTGGCCCAGCACCAAAAAAGCTGTAAGATGGCCCTTTCCTGGGCCTTCCTCTGTAGTTGAGAAAGAAAACCTGCTAAGATGTGACCAAGAAACGTGCTTCTCCCTGAGGTGGTATCCTTGCTCCTGACCTTGGTTTTTAGGATACCATTCTCGACGTTTGGAGGAAAGGTGAACCAGGCCACTGGAATTTTAGCAGCCATGGGAGGGAAGAAAGAAAATCTAGTGAGGGAAAGGCCAATGCATAGCATTTCTTCTTATGAATCAGCTGGAGTTTTTCTTAAAAATTCAGATTTCTAGACCCCAGCCTTATTGAATCAGAGTATTTAGAGCCTAGGAACATTCAGGTCTAGGAATTCTAAAGAAAGAAAGAAGATAATAATACTAGTAATTCCTAAGGAGAAAGTGAGACAGCAAGTGTTTGGCACGGTCACCATTACCCAATGGTAGCATTCACATCATAGAAGCAAGTGATCCTGTTATAATCTAAATCAGGTTGTGTCAATTCTCTGCTTAAAATTCTCTAGTATTTTCCAAAGTCTTTGCCAAGGCCTACGAGCTGCACACCCTCCCCCACCCCCTTACTTCTGCCACACTGGTCTTCTTGCCCATCCTCTAACTCAGAAGACAGCAAATATTTTCTGTAAAGAGCCATATAATCAATATTTTTGGCTTTGCAGGCCATACAGTCTCCAATGCAACAACTCAAATCTGCCATTTTAGTGTGAAAGCAACCATAAACAACAGGCAAACAAATGAGCATGGCTGTGTTCCAATATAACTTTATTTACATAAACAGGCCACAGGCTAAATTCCACCTGTGGGATGTAGTTTGCTGGCCCCTGCTCTAACTCGTCTGCACATGCTCCTCCCCCTGATACACACAGGGCTCTTGTCCCTTATCTCCTTCAGGTCTTTATTCAGGGAGCCCTGCTCAGGCCACACCAACATTGCCACCCTTCCTATCCCCCTTCCCTACTTTTTCTCTTTAGCTCTTAATACCCAGAGGCGTAGTGAGGGTGGGAGGTCCAGAGAGGGGCACTTCCCCTGGGCACAAGTCTAAGGGGGTGCCAGATGAAGTGCGGAATGACATTCTGAGGCGCCACAAATATGAAAGGTGCCTAAGGCAGCCGGACAAGACCAGGGAAGGTGTTTCTGCTGACTGTTGCTGTTATCTATGTTTACTCATTTTGGAACTGAGTGGGGGTGGGGTACAACTTAGAGACTGCCCCTGGGCGCTGGCTGCCCTTGCTAGACCTCTGTTAACACCTTCTAACATATTTATTTTGGTTGTCTGTCTCCCCTCATGCCCAATCCCCAGTGACTAGAATGTAGGCTCTACAAGGGCAGACACTTTTATTTTTTGTCATTGCTGTATTCCCAGCTGCCTTACATGTAGCAGGCACTCAATAAATATTAATCAATTGAACGAATCAGGCTTATTGCAAAATTAAAAAGAAAAGTGAAGCCAGTTCACAAACACTACCCCAAATCTATCCTAACATGGGACAAAGTTTCCCACGATCTAGAAAGCCCCGGGTCACTGGATTATGTCATAATCAGTGATGTCATCTTTGGGAAGATTCTGAAGTCACTCCCTGATTCAGGCCTTTCAGGCCTTGAAGCTGATGGGATTGAGGAGCTTTCTGAGAGCAGGATGGCTCTTGACAGTGTGTGGGCTTCACGGGAGGCAATCGTAGGGGATGGGCCTTCCAAGAAAGTGAGTGAACAGACATCCGTGCAGACACAGACCCTCCAGACTGCCTCCTTAAAGGACGGCCCGGCCAAGCGGGCAGTGTGGGTCCGCTGCAATAGTTCGGAGTTGGAAGACCCTACCAAATCCACAGTGGCCAAGGACAGGCCCAAGCTAGAGGCAAGGAAGGCAGTGGTAGTGGATCTGGGCACTGGCTATTGTAAATGTGGCTTTGCTGGCCTGCCAAAGCCCACCCACAAGATCTCATCAACAGTGGGCAAGCCCTACATGGAAACAGCCAAAACCGGGGATAATCGCAAAGAGACATTTGTGGGACATGAACTCCTCAACCCTGAGGTCCGTCTCAAGCTAATTAATCCTCTGCAACACGGCATCATTGTGGACTGGGATTCAGTGCAGGATATCTGGGAATATCTCTTCCGACAAGAGATGAAGATCGCCCCAGAGGAGCATGCAGTCTTGGTTTCAGATCCCCCGCTGAGCCCTCACACCAACCGAGAGAAGTATGCTGAGATGCTGTTTGAAACCTTCAATACACCTGCCATGCACATAGCTTACCAGTCCCGCCTGTCCATGTACTCATACGGAAGGACCTCCGGCTTGGTGGTGGAGGTTGGCCACGGTGTATCCTACGTGGTCCCCATCTACGAGGGTTATCCTCTGCCCAGCATCACCGGCAGGCTGGACTACGCAGGCTCTGACCTGACAACTTACCTGATGAACCTGATGAACAATTCGGGGAAGCATTTCACAGAGGACCAGATAGGCATTGTGGAGGACATCAAGAAGAAATGCTGCTTTGTGGCCCTGGACCCTATCGAAGAGAAGAAAGTACCATCTACTGAGCACATGATCCAGTATACTCTGCCAGATGGGCAGGAGATACACCTGTGCCAAGAAAGGTTCCTCTGCTCAGAAATGTTCTTTAAGCCGTCTCTAATCAAGTCCATGCAGCTGGGGCTACACACCCAGACGGTGTCCTGCCTCAACAAGTGTGACATCGCCCTCAAACGGGACCTCATGGCGAACATCCTGCTCTGCGGGGGCAGCACGATGCTCAGTGGTTTCCCTAACCGCCTGCAGAAGGAGCTGAGCAGCATGTGTCCCAATGACTCGCCTCAGGTAAATGTATTGCTGGAAAGAGACACTGCAGTGTGGACTGGTGGCTCCATCCTCGCCTCGCTCCAGGGCTTCCAGCCACTGTGGGTCCACCGCTTTGAGTACGAGGAACACGGGCCTTTCTTCCTCTACAGAAGATGCTTCTGAACTCTGCAGTGAAGCATGGTGGCTGTGATTGCAATGCATCAGCTTTGCTGGGTGAGCACCTGTCCTGCACACAGGGAGCTGAGCCAGCATGTCCACTCCTGTGGTATTAAATGACCCTCATGTCAGCACGTCCACTCTTATAGTATTAAACAGCTCTCATGTTCCCCTCCACAGTCTGTTTATTTCCTAACTTACTAAGAACAACTTCACAGATACAGCATCTGCCTTAAAATACATTTTCCAGAATAAAATGGGGAGAGGGGAGAGGTGAAAAAGACATGCATTATATGCTGATTGCTTAAACACTCCCTCTTTCTTGGGAGAAATTAGCTCTAAAATTAATCTGTCCCTTGTTTTGTGTATTCCTCACTTTGGGAATCAGTTTATTGTTAAAATAGGCTTGGAAGAGGGAGTGCAATGAAGATAGATTATAAAATGCTGTTGGCACATATAAGAAGATCCCTTTCAATAAATACCAAAGGCTTGGAAACAGCCTACAAAAATGTCTGACCCCTGCTTTAACTGTACTTTTACCTCCAATAGTCACTTGTGTCTCAACACCAGCTCTTATTAAGCCATTATGGTGACTGGCTTCCAAACCTGAGAACAGGACAAGTGTAATATATGTATGTCTTAAGAGTGTTATATAGATTTCTTCTTTTTAAAAATTGGGGTTAGATTTATCTTAGGCTATCAGCACTGAGGTCCTGAGGATAGTAGCCACACTCACTCTCCAGACATCTCAGAAGTAGCTGCCCATCTCCCACCTGATATGATTCTCCATCAGCCTATAAGGGACAAAGTTTGGGTCTGGAGTGGGCTCAGGATGGAGGCTGCTGGTTCTGGGGCTGATGGCATGGGTTTGTGGGAGGTTGCCCCACACCAGTTATTCTAACTCAGAGGGGCCTGAAGGAACATACCAATCATCTGTGGCCAAGAAAGCCCTCTGAAGGGCCCAGCAGGTTCTGTGGTATTCCTGCTGTAGGAGTTTGTAACTGGAGCACAGATTTTTAAGAACAGGCCCCAATGCATATTCTCTGCCCTCTCCAAAGATCAGAACCTGAGCAACACTGGCAGGCAGCATCAAATAGTAGAAAGAACATTGGCTTTTGACCTCCGTGGTTTGAAACCCTATTTTGTTACCATCTGTTTGCTCACCTATAAAATTGAATACTAATGCCTGCGTCACATGGCTGATGCAAACACCGGAGATAAAAACACCTGAATACATCCCTAGCCTCCACAAGGTGCTCAAAATAGTTACTTAATATTATTTTGTAGACATCTACCACTCATACAACATAAGCCCAGTCTTTTACTGTGGTCCTTAGCCACATATTCACATTTCAGCACTCCTGGGAAAGCTGGCACCTCTACCATTTTGCAGGGATACGCCCTAGAGAGCCACCCTCACACATCTAGGTTTGCCTAGACAGCCCTGAAAGACCTACATTTCCTGACCCTGGATCCAGGCCTGACAAGTAAGCTTATCTGGCTAGCACCAGCACGCTGGAGTCAGGAAGCAAAGATGGTCACAGAAGGGCACCTGGACTTCCCTACGGTTCAGCAAAGACGACTAAGCCTTACCTTGGAATATCATGGAACCAGCCAGAAGTTGGGCACATTGACCTGTGAGGTATGTCGTCTTCAGCTCAGTTTCTGCCCAAACTCCTCTACTGTCAACACTCCATGAACATTCCCTGATTGGCAAGTTTTTTGATTAATTATTAACCTGTGGACCCCTTCTCAGAGTAATGCTTCTAAATGCATAAAATAAAATACATAATATTACAGAGGAAACCAATCATACTAAAATGCAGCTCTATCTTCAGATTCCTTTGGGTTCTGTGGAACACAGGTTAGGAACCCCCCAAAAGCTGACTGTGTTGATGAAGAGGAGAGGTGGGGGGTTGTTCTGGAGGATGGGAGTCTCTACGTCATCCTAGGCCTAAATGTTATGCTGTATTTTAAAATGAAAAACAGCATTATAAGGCTGAACAGTTGCATAGTCTTTTTCAAAGCACTTCTATGAATTCTCACTTGATCCTCACAATCACTCAAGTAAAAAAAAAAAAGGAGTCCTCCTGACAAAAAGAGATGAGCAGTTTTAGTAATATTTAGAAGTCATCTTAGCCCACTAGTTCTCAACTGGGGACACTTTCCCCTTCATGTGATATTTGATAATGTCTGAAGATATTTTTGGTTATTGTAACTGTGGGGGATGAGGTGGGGAGGTGTGCCACTGGCACGTAGTGGGCAGAGGTCAGGGATATTACTAAATATCCCTACAATGCACCAGACAGCATTCCATAGCAAAGAATCATATAACCCAAAATGTCAATAGTGCTGAGGCTGAAAAACTCTGTCTTACCCAAAGAGCAGGCAAGGCTGGAGGAAAGCAAGGCTCATTAAGATTAAATGACTTCGTCCAAGGATCCTACCAAGAAAGAATGGACCCATGGGCCAAAGCCTGTTCTTTCCTGTACCAGGGGAGCATCTCTTATTCTCAAAGCTCCTGGGACTTCAGAGCTGGTAAGAGTAATGGTGGATTGGCCTACTTCGGGCATGAGGCACAAGCAAGGGCTTAGGGAGCAGAAAGCAGGCTCAGCTCTAGGGACACAGGACCAAGAGAACGCCTTCAGTCTTGTCAAATGTCACCTTGTCTCCAGCCTCTTGGACATTTATAGTCATCCAGCCTCTAAGATTTTCATTCCCAACTCCCAACAGACAAGGCAAGGCAACCAAAGACTCCCAAGGACCTGTCCCAGGTGGTGCTTCTATGGAAGCACAAAGGTTTATGGGCTGGCACAAGAAGAAAAAAAATTAATTTTGCTTCCCATACTTGCAGTCATTTATATCACTAAGAACAGTCAATTTTGTGTATTTCTTATAACACCCCTTCAGGTATGGTTTGATAAATCTCTCAAATGCATGTAGATATATATATAATATACATAACTTTTTTAACAAGAAAATAAATTTATTTTAAAATACATAGCAGTGCTAAGAAATTACAATAAGCTATACTATTAAAGACATAATAAAAACATTAGCTCCTGCCTCCGTTTAAAGAAATATAACGTTAAAATCCATTTTGATTGATGGAGACAATCCTCTGTTAAGTTCTAGCTTGATGTTTGGGGCATCTGAGCAAGCCATCTGACTCAATGGAACCAAGGAAAGACCTGAGGATTTTCGCTCCCTGCAGCATGAACCTGTTTTAGGACAGAACCCAAGTTTCTGGAAAGAGTTATATACTCTTCGCTAGTGCTCGACAGACTCTTTCCCTAAAATTAAGCATTCAACACTCACATGACAGTTTCTCCTCTTCCCATATACAACATTTGACTTCTCCATCAATTCCTCCTTGGCTTTGCCTTCAGTTTGGAAGCTCTACTCCTGCCTGATTCTTCTCAAAATCAACAAAACCCGGAGGCGGGGCCAAGAAGGCAGAGTAGTCAGATGCTTCCGGTGGACCCTCTTACAACAAAGACCCGAAAAAACAAATTAATCGATTATATATGGCAATCTGGGAACCCTGAATATCAAAGGCAGAGTTGAAGAACTGGACTGAGTGGCAGGGGGAGGGAAAGATGGTTCGGAAGCAGCAAGGAGTTGCCAGATCTGACCCGGGGAAAGCCTGAGCCCTTCAGGCCAGATCAGCTCAGGGGTAAGCGGTGAGGTAGGCAAGCAGCGGTGCTCGGGAGGCGCATTTTCCGCACCAGGAGAGACCCAGCGCCAGAGAGTCTACACAGCCACCCAGAACCAGTGAGAAGCAGCCCTGGATCAGCGAAAGAAAGCAATTGTGTACGGCCTACTGTGTGGATCAAAAACAGCCCCCGCCCCCGCCCTTAGGAAAAAACCTCTCTCCCATTTACCTCCCTGCTCCCTGCTCTGCACTGGGTCCTGGACAGACTTCAGCAATTGCCAAATCCCCTGGGCCAGAAGCAGGGTCAGTCACACATCTGGAGCCATTCTCCCTGCCTTGGAGAGTGAACAAATTAACAAACGGGAAAAAACAAACTGCCAGCTCCCCTGAGCCAGGAACCCAGGGTAGGCACAGCTCCTTTATCTAGGCACAGGCATAAGGGATCCACAGACTTTGAGTGCCTTTCCCCCTGCACAGACTTGTGTGGGCCCAAAATAGCGGAGGACCTCATTACCGCAGTACAACAGGGTATATACCGGAACTCTACCTTCAACTGTTTCAGCTGTGAAGTGGCAGGTTCTTGACATCTGACACTGCTCTGCCCATTAAGCAGGGTCTTCACCTATCCACACCAGGGGCCTGAGGACTGGTGGCTCTACCCACGCCACCTAGCCACCTGTGATAGGGGCCCATGAATAAGAGATGCCCCCCAGTCCTTACAGCCAACAGCATTAGGTTGTCAGAGTCCGGCTGCAAAACCCATCCACCTACACACTCTAGGGAACAGGGACACGCCTTCCTCCTGGACACTCGAGGGTGGCCGTCAGCCCCCTGCCTTGCTCAGAGTGTGTCCCCCTGCTGCAGTCAGATACCTGTGCCTACAGCAGTCAACCATGCTTGTCTAGGACTCTAAGTGAGAGCCTACACCACGCACTTGGTGGCTACCTACCTTGGCACCTGAGCTGAATCCATACAGGAGGAGAGGGCGGACTCCTGAACTCACATACCTAGTAACAGATCTAACCATCTGGTGACAGGACATTAGAGCTTCAAAGGTGCCAGTAATCAAACTAGTTCATACAAGCAGCCTATTTGGGCATATCAAAACAAGAAGCTAGGACACAGTAAGCAAACATAAAATAAATAAATATAATAACTTATTGGTGGCTTGGAGACAACGGTCAAAATCAACAAAACCCAATCTTGTCCAGAAGAGAGAGTAACTGACAGTAACTCGCATTCACACACAGATTTCTTCTTCCTGCATCAATACACTATTTTAAGGGAACCGAGTGTCCATGAAAATTCACACTATTATCAACAGACACATTTATTCCTATTTTCAATCCATCAACATGGGAGCCTTGTGCTATTATCCAAATTTTAATATAAACCAGTTGCAATTTTAAAATGAGCACTACAGCATATTTAAAATGTTAAGTAACCATGTTCATTTACCCATGCCAAAGAGTAGTCACAAAGTACTCTCTGCCTTTCAATATTGTGCACTTAATTAAAGCAAATTCATTAGGGTATGAGTCAACAAAGATTTCCTCAAAGCAGGACAATACCTTCTTTTTGTGCTTTACTCAATTTTTTATTGTGAAAAGTTTCAGACATACAGAAAAGCTGAATTATACAGTGAATACCCCTAGATTCTATAGTGAACTTTTAGCTATATCGGGTAATCAAAAAAACCAAACCAAACCTGTTGCCATAGAGTTGATTCTGACTCATAGTGACACTATATGATAGAGTAAAACTGCCCCAGAGGGTTTCCAAGGAGCAGCTGGTGGATTCGAACTGTGAACCTTTTGGTTAGCAGCCAAACACTTAACCACTGCACCATTAGGGCCCCATACTGGGTAAAGTCTTCTTAAATTACAATTCAGGTATACAGGCAGTCCCCAAGTTACGAACATCTGACTTACAGACAGTACCAGCCCTTGCCCTTTACTATTATGTAAATTTGCCCTCACTTTGAAATGACTGAACCAACCCCTACTTGCAACAAATTCATCACAATCACCTTCACCTGCTGCATGTGCAGACTTTAAATCATTGAAAAGGCTTTGAGCCTTTTCTTGCACTAAATTAAGGATAAATAAGAACTGTATGCACCTGTTCTGACTTACCTACAAATTTGACTTAAAGACACACTTAGGAACGGATCTCATTTGTAACCTGGGGGCTGCCTGTATCTATACTCTGAGGATCAAAAGCAGCATTTCGTATTATCCTAGATACAGTAATGGAGGTCTGACTCTGGTATTAAAATCATGGAAGAAAACTTTAATCACAAAACTGTTGTTAAAATGAACCGGGCTTTTTCTAAACTCACCAAAAAGAAAAAAAATTCTCATTTCTTCCAAAGAAAATAGGAAGTTCTTTTGACAAACTGAACAAAACCGCTAAGCACCATAAACAAATGAAATGGTTTAGACATTGACAAAAATATCTCAGTTACAGAAGGCCATATTTGGGGAACAAAGAATAATTTACAACTGTGCAGGCCATAGATGTACACTGCTCATCCATACCTGTGATGGTTAAGGTTCTATGTCTTGGGTTTGTCAGCCCCTGCAGCTACGTGAGTCAGCAGAAACCTCTAGCCTGACAACTGACTCACGGACTTGGGACTTCCCAGCCTCTACAATCACATGAACCATTTCCTTGATACAAATTTCTCTACAGACACAGACACACACACAGACACACACACAGACACACACACAGACACAGACACACACACACACAGACACACACACACTTCACTGGTTTTACTTCTCTGGAGAACCCAACCTAAGACATTTGGTACCAAGAGTGACTCTAGAGAAACAAAATTCTAAGGATGAGTTTTCTACATTTGTTCTCAAGTCTGGCTCGTCTTAAAGATGTTGACTCTGCTTCCAGTAGTAAACAGGGCACTGCTAATCCATGGCATGAGGTGGCAATAGAAATATGCAAAATATCACCACCAAAATAGATCAAGTATTGGTGAGAAGCAAGGCTCTGGGTGATAACGTCTTTGATACTTTTCTACAATTCTGTCAGAATGAGAAGTATAAGGAAGCTGGTTGATTAGTCCTACTGTCACTAGACAAAGTAGTGTAAGAGATGAACTCAGGGCTTTACAGTCAAAGCTCAAGCACCACATAAATGACCTCAAAGTTGCCACTTATGCCCAGAAAAAAAAGCCTTATTTCTTGTAGTAACAGAGTTGATATTACTGACAACCAAACCGAGTCTTATCGTAAGAGTGGCTGAAATACACCAATTGAATCCTCAACCTCAAATGGTATCTGAAGTGAGGGCATTGATCGGGAAGGAATGGGATCCCGAAAACTGGGATGGGGACACATGGGCAGATAATCAGGAAGCCGGGAACACTAAATTCTGTTGAATCGCTCCTGCCAACAGAACCACTAGCCCCTCCACCCCCATCTGATGAGATTAACCTAGCTGTGTCTGAAGAGCCTTTGAGATACTGCATGGGGCAGTATCTGAGTCATAATCTGGAGCATCACCTGAGGGAGATGCCTTACAAAACACTGCTGAATGTTCTCAAAACACAGTGTGACCTCAACAGAGGAGAATTTTAAGTCAAGCGGGTAGGATGATGTGCTCTGCGGAAATGAGTCATCCACTTTCTCCACCCACTCCCATCATTGCTCAATGGGCTCATGAAGAAAGTGGCCATGGTGGCAGAGATGGAGCTTACGCAACATGGACTTCCACTCACCAAGGCTGACTTGGCTGCAGCCACTGCTGAGTACCCAAGCTGCCAGCAGCAGAGAACAACACCGAGTCCCTGATATGGCAGCATTCCTTGAGGTAATCGGCCAGCAACCTGGTGGCAAGTTGATTACACTGGACCGCTTCCATCATGGACAGGGCAGCATTTGTTCTTACTGGAATAGATGCTTACTCTGGATACAGATTTGCCTTCCCTGTACACAATGCTTCTTCCAAAACTACCACCTGTGAACTTACAGAATGACTTATCTACCATCACGGTATCCCATACATTACCTCAGATGAAATGACTCACTTCACAGCAAATGAAGTGCGGTATTGGGCCCAGGCTCAGGGAATTCACTGGTCTTACCATGTTCCCCACCATCCTGAAGCAGCTGGCTAGGTGGCAATACCTTACAGGGTTGGGGCAATGTTGTCAGGGAGGCTTTATATGCTCTAAACCAGCATCCAATATATGGTGCTGTTTCTCCCATCGTCAGGGTTCATCGGTCCGGGAATCAAGGGGTGGAAATGGGAATGGCACCACTCACTATTACCCCTAGTGACCCACTTGGAAAATTTTTGTTTCCTGGCCCCACAAACCTATGCTCTGCAGGTTTAGAGGTCTTAGTTTCAAAGACAGGAATGCTCCCACCTGGAAATACATCACTGATTCCATTGAACTGAAAGTTAAGAATGCTACCCAGCCACTTTGGGCTCCTTATGCCTCTGGATCAACAGGCAAATAAAGGAGTTACCCTACTGGCTGGTGTGACTGATCCCGTCTACCAAGAGGAAATCAAATTGATATTACATAATAGAGTTAAACAAGAGTATTTCTGGAATGCAGGAGACCCCTTAGGACATCTCTTAGTATTACCATGCCCTGTGCTTGAAGACAATGGAAAACTATAGCAACCCAATTCTGACATGACCACTAATGGCCCAGACCCTTCATTAATGAAGGTTTGGTTCACCCCACCAGGCAAAGAATTATGACCAGCTGAGTGCTTGCCAAGGGTAAAGGAAATACAGAATGGGTGGTGGAGAAAGGTAGTTCTAAATACCAGCTATGACCATGTGACCAGTTACAGAAATGAGGACTGTTCATTGTTGAGTACTTCTTCCTTGTATGTGTGCATCAAATATTTTTGTTTTCTTCACTTATGTAAGATGTAAACAGGGCTAGTTCGTTTTCAGTTGAACGTGTGTTAGTTTTATCATGTTAGGTGCACGTATGGCTTTATAATTGTCTTTATTTAGAGATAATATATGGTTTAGGGAGATGTGTACAGGTGCCAAATTGACAAGGGGCGGGCTGTGATGGTTAAGGTTGTGTGTCAACTTGGCTGGGCCATGATTCTCAGTAGTTTGGCAGTCATGTAAACATGTAATCACCTTCATGATGAGGTCTGATATAATTTAATCTCCTCCATGATGAGATCTGCTATGAGTAGCCAATCAGTTGAAAGGGAATTTCCTTGGGGGTGTAGCCTGCATCTGATATATATGGACTTTTCTGGCAAAGCTCGTTGGCGTTTGCTCTGCTCTGGATCCTGCATTCAGCTTGTCATCATCTGAACTCCATTTCTTGGGACTTGAACCAACAGCCTGCCATCTTACCTTCCGATCTGGAATTCATCAATCTCGGCAGCCCGTGAGCCATCAGCCTGCCATCTGACCTGCCGATCTTGCGTTCATCAGTGCCTGCAGCTATGTGAGTCAGGAGAAGCCTCCAGCCTGATGCCTGAAAGTTCCCACAGACTTGTGACTTCCCAGCCTGTACAACTATGTGAGTCATTTCCTTGATATAAATCTCTCTCTCTATATATATACATATATATATATCCGCTTCACTAGTTTCACTTCCGTAGAGAACCCAGCCTAAGACAACACCTAATGTGTGTGATGCTGTTTCATAAATTCTTATCTGTTCCAGCTCTAACACTGGTAACTCTCTAGCAGAAAATACACAAGCAGTAAAATAGTCCCTATGGACTTTGCAACTGTAGGAGGCTCAGCCCAGCTCTAACTGGAAGCATATGACCTGGTAAGATATTACAAAGTATCAGCTGCCAGCATAGGAAGGCTTAGAATTTCAAAGGATACACTTAACTTTTTATTCTGCTTTAGTGGAAGGTGAAGAAGCCATTTCAGTGATTTAAATTTGACCAAATGTTAGCACTGATAGTCATGTTGTTTATATGTAATGCTCTTCATCAGGAACACAAAACAATTTAGAAACATTATTTTACTTGTCTTCACACCGTTGAGATGGAAGCCATGAAACATTATTCCCAATTAACGGAGGAGGAACTGAGGCACAAATCAATTATGTGACTTGTTCAGGTCACAATATGAATCAGACCTGTAACTGGGAATGAAACTCAATCTCCTGATTACTATAAATACCAGAAATAGTCTCTCAAGCAGCACTATAAAAGAACAGTAATTCTTACAAAATGGCATTACATTGCCTGAAGCTTAAAACTTTGTTAATGATTAAAACATATACACAAAATTAAAAAAAAATGCTTGGTGTCTGCTGAGGTCTGGTTCACAGATCAGCTCTCTGGCAATGCTTTGGTAACTCATGTCTTACTCTTCCCAGTGTCGGATCGCCAGGCGTCAAGGAGCAAGGGATAGAAGGAAAACTAGCAGTGAGTAGAAAAGTCTTCTCTGCCAGAGCCCTCTGCACTGGGCCACAGTCACTCTAGAAGGGTCAGTTTCCACTGGGTTCTTTTGTTTATCTTTGGTGGTATAAAAAGCTCAGCATCTAAAAGTAAGAAAAGGAGATTGTGACAGACACACTGTCTCTTGTTGGTGGGAGCTGAGGCATAACTCTAAGCTAAACAAACAAGGTGACTGAGTTTCACAGCTACAAGACGACCGCCAGAGCCCAAGGTAATGTGTCCACTACCCTTGCAAGCTCCTGGTCAGAACAAACACAGCCTGGAGGCCCTGCCCTGAGAAGAAGGACTGTATCTCTGTGTTCTGGTATTGGGAGTACAGAAGAAAAAAAAAGCAAACTGAGTGACTGAAAGTAGAATAATGTTTTGTATCTCAGGGGGTGACAGTAGTGGTTACATGGGTATACACATTTATCAAAACTCATCAGTTGTACCCCTAACATCTGTGCATTTCACTTACGTAAATTTTCCCTAATTTAAAAAAAAATTAAAAATGTGGTGGCATGTAAGGAAATTAAGTAATTAAGCTAGTGGACAGAATATAATTCATGATAAAAAATTCTACAAACATGTTTACTAAAAAAAAAAGTCTCTGTTTAAGGAAAAAAAGTAAATGAGGAGTTGGGGAAAATACTGTCATGTAACCTAAAACTCCTAGGCACTCTTTCAGTCAGAAAGTTCTATGGAGCCTTTCATCTAACTAGGAATCATATACGGGAAGCAGATATGAGAAAATAAGTATACGTGAGATATTCTTTCTCAGCATTATTTATGATAATTAAACTTCTAGTAATACATCTGTGCAATGAGTCATAGACATTAAAAATTATTTTCAAAGAATAGTTAACAATGTGAGAAAAATGCTCAAGATAAAATATCTTTGAACAGCAGGACACAAAACATCATGATTTTCAGTATACATAAATATATGTGTGTATATACATACACATTCATATTATATGACTAGAAGGAAACTGTCAAATAGTAAAACATTTTTCTTGGTAGTAGCATTTTAAGTAATTTTAATTTTCTTTGACCTACTTTTCTGTACAATCCATATTTCCTCTACTATTCATGTCAGTTTTAGAATTACACATATACATACTACACACAATTATTGCTCCCCCATCAAAAAAAACCCCAAAACCAAAAAACTACAGACAAAAGACCACAGGAGGTCTGGTTATTTAAGAATATTGATAATGGAAAAAGGCAACTTAAATAAATTCACTGTCAACAAGGTCCACAGTTTCATGTTGAACAGTGAAAGGTATGAATGAGACTGTACCTTAAAAAACAAACAAGTTATGAAAATAAAATATACTGTCTTATTTTAAAAAGTTAGGTATAACTATAATTATGTTTCATTCTTAGACTTAACTAAGAATGAATACCACGTATTAACTCTTTGGCAAGGAGGTATTTACTCTGACAAATTGTATGACAGTAGGACATGACGTGTTTCACATTTCCATGTTTGATTTTCACAGCACAAAAAGCCATTTTTACAAAAATACTTTGAAAGCTTTACCAATTTTTTCAAGGACCTCTCGATTCTTTGACAGTCAAACCATTCTCATTTGAAGCACTTCTTTTGTTACCAACGTAACAAACCCAGCTCAACTGTGATTCAAGGACTTCTCCAATATCATTTAATCCATTCCATTAAATTCTACATTTTTGTAGGAACTGCAATCTATCTGCATGATATTTGCATTGCATTGAAAACATTAAACAATCAGAGAAAATGACCCATATGTCACCAATCCCATTTGTGGGGACATGTGAGCATACTTAACTACTGATAGCTGGGGAGTGAAGGTTGAGGAATATTTGAGTGAGACTAAGTTTTTCTGCCTATTTTTAGATTATTCCTTTTCTTACACAGCCAAGTAACTACAGGACTTTGATAATAAACACTAAAATAATGAGGAGCCCCCAAATGTTACAGAGTGAGTCTTGAAAGGCTCAGTTGGAAAATGGAGGCGCTTTGATGTGGTACTTGTCTAGAATACTCTAGCGAAAGGAATCACTGGATCTGACCTGAAGGTTGGCATCAGGCCAGCAGCGAAAAACACAAGGGGCAGAAATCACAACTGGATTGGACGGCAGTACAAACAAAACAATTACCAAATTGCTTCAAGTCTAAGATGAATTTTTAGAATTTTGGAAATAAGTATGTATCTTGTGACTGATCCAAAAGAAGCTTGCCAGTCTCCAGGAAAAAGAGGAGATAGAGATACAGTAATTGCTGTCAGGATGAATGAGTTTAGCAGAGACGGATGACAGCTGTTCATCCTTGGCAGCAACATAAGGTGTTCAAGTTAAGCTTAATTTGAATCCCCAAAGACTACTTCAAAGGTCACCAAAATACTAACATTATAGTACAGCATTTAAATGAAAAAATTTCAGAACACTGCTTATAAATGCTAGAAAATGCAAATAATAGCAATAAAAACTGCCAATTATTTTAGACTGTATCACTCCCTTTTGAAAGCTAAGAGAGGTTAGAATGTTCGATTGATTCATCTGAGGGGCAAACACTGAGGCACCAAATTTATTGGTCAAAAGTTGCTAGCCAGCTTTCTGAAAAAAGCTAGTAGGGCTTTTTAACTTTTAGGGATATATAATCTAATTGAGAACCACCTTACCCTAGCAACCAATCAACCAACCAACAAACAATTTTAGGTATAACTATGAAATACAGACAAAATGCTAAAATTCTTTGGCTATATCTTCAAATTATACTGTTAATCCTAAAGGTGATAAAAGGTCTAGATCAAAAACAAGAATTATGGAAATGTCCCCAAGACGCAATGCATAACTGCCAATCGTCAAAAATGATGACTCAAAAGGATCTCTGGAATTATATGCAAATGTACATTGTTGAGACTCAAACTTTAAGCCAATGGGTGTGTATGGACATATGTATGCCACTGTCAGAAAATTTTCCAAACAATGTCCATTTAATGTTGTACTGGATTTCTCCCCAACCTGCCTCCACCACTGGAAGACTAAACTGGTATCTTCCTAAAGATAACATCTTAAAGAGTTGAGAGAAAACTATAGTTAAATTCCAATTTCTCCTATACTGCTGACCTTCTCAACGCTTCACGAAAAACACTGCTTTTGCATAGGACTATAATAATTCATAGAGAAAAAAACAAAAAAAATACTAACCAAGAACAGGGGCTGAAGTCTTCTGTTGTTGATAGGACGCCATGATACTGTTTGCTGTTGAACTGGGACCTAGAATCTAAGTAGAAAGTAGACTGTATCAGCAAAGATGATCTTATACTTCTGATCACTGCAAATATCAAAGGCCAACTCTCTACCAGCAGTAAACAGCCTGTCATGTAAGCTCTCGCTTTTTACTGGTATGGTACCAAACAGTGTAATTTTTTCCTATGTGATTTTTATTTGCCAGTTTCTCCACAATCTCATCCCAGTCCTCTAAATCTCCTTTCTCCCAGAACAACAAGGCTATGAAAACAGAAAAAGGAAATCTACAAGGATATATGCCTGGCCCTTTCCAAATGGGCAATCCATACCCTGAGAGGAGGGGAAATACTGCAAGAAGCTATAGAATATACATGGAGCATTAACTGTACCCAAAGATCTGTGGGCAACAAACATTTCTATATTAGAATAAACATGCATTTTATGGGGTAGAATGCAAAATCTGCACACATTTTCAAGGTGAGACAAGAGACTGACAGGATGTCATGCTGGCAGCAAGCCTCTTTGGGCCCACACCAGCCAGCCACTCTCTGGTTTGTCTTCGTTCATCCCTGCACACAGGCCCCAGGTGGTAAATGCCCAGAAGTGACGCACATGTCCAAAGCCCTTCAAACATCTGCTGGCAACCTGCACACATACCATTACCAAACACTAACAACCAAAAGAAAAACACACAATTCTGCTGGTCATTTTCCCTAGAAGATTCATAAAGTTGGTATCTTAGAAGTTAAAGTGATCTGAATAGAAGAGGGTAGGGAAGGGCATGCGGGAGGCATATAAATTCTTAGCTTCAAAAACACTATAGTTTTGAAAATGATGATTACATTTCTTCTAGAAAATACCTATTATAGTGAATTTAAATATTTGTGGGGAGCCCTGGTGGTGCAGTGGTTAAGAGCTATGGCTGCTAACCAAAAAGTCAGCAGTTCAAATCCACCAGCCGCTCCCTGGTGACCCTACGGGGCAGTTCTACTCTGTCCTATAGGGTCGCTAGGAGTCGGAATCGACTCAACAGCAACGGATTTGGTTTTTTGGTTTTGGTGGCATGCTTAAGCGCTCAGTTGCTAACTAAAAGGTCGGCAGTTTCATTTCAACCCAACATCCACTCCGAAGGAGAAAGATGTGGCTGTCTGCTTCTACAAAGATTCAAGTCTTGGAAACACTAAGGGGCAGTTCTACTCTGTCCTATAGGGTTGCTATGAGTTGGAATCAACTCAACGACAACAGGTTGGGATTCTTGGTTACTTTTATTTCCATGGTCTGTAAAGGGCTTTTACATCTACTCTCTTATCTAACCGTCAAAACATGCCAGTGAACTGTATAGGGGAAATATTATCCCCTTTAAAATGGAGGACATTGAGACTCAGTAAGCTTAAATGGGTTTTTAACCAGTGAGTTGATTATTAATCTTCCCTCCCTCAGCTCCAAGCCCACCCCCTTCTACTGACTGCTTGTGATGCTAGGGCTGGGAGCCTGAAAAAACATTTCTCCTTTGCCAACTGGCTCTCTGTTCTGCTCTGCCACAGGGTACACCCCAGAGGGAGAGTGCAAGGCCGGAGGAGGAAGAGCTCGCTCCTTCGTTTGTTTGCTTTCTTAGCAACTCCCAACAGTAGGTCTTTACCCTGGCACTAGCTGTTCACCCCAGTTTCCACTTATTTCTTCACTTAGAAGCAGCTTCATCATGTCCCCTCAGAAATATCAGCACCAACTGGTTGATGCCCTCTTCTAGGAGGTCTAAGTCCCAGCTCAACAAGGGTCCACCTCTAAGCCTCTAAATTCTAATAATCCCAAACTCCCCCGCTTTTTTCCCCAGCCCTAGGGGTAGAAGTTGCTTCCTCTAGTCACTATCTCAGTGTTCCTCCTCTGTGTTTCCCGTTTGCTTTTTCAGTCCTCCAAAAACTTGTTTAACCAATTCTGTATATTGAATTGTTTCTGATAACTGTGATATGCAGATGACATAACCTTGCTTGCTGAAAGTGAAGAGGACTTGAAGCACTTACTGATGAAGATCAAAGACTACAGCCTTCAGTATGCATTACACCTCAACATAAAACAAAAATCCTCACAACTGGACCAATAAGTAACATCAAGATAAATGGAGAAAAGATTGAAGTTGTCAAGGATTTCATTTTACTTGGATCCACAATCAACACCCATGGAAGTAGCAGTCAAGAAATCAAACAATGTATTGTACTGGGCAAATCTGCTACAAAAGACCTCTTTAGGGTGTTAAAAAGCAAAGATGTCACCTTAAAGACTAAGGTACATCTGACTCAAGCCATGGTATTTTCTATCACCTCATATGCATGTGAAAGCTGGATAATGAATAAGGAAGACTGAAGAAGAACTGACACTTGAATTGTGGTGTTGGTGAAGAATACTGAATATACCATGGACTGCCAGAAGAACGAACAAATCTGTCTTGGAAGAAGTACAGCCAGACTGCTCTTTAGAAGCAAGGATGGCGAGACTTTGTCCTAAGTACTTTGGACATGTTATCAGGAGGGACCAATCCCTGGAGAAGGACAACATGCTCGGTAAAGTAGAGGGTCAATGAAGAAGAGGAAAACCCTCAATGACATAGACTGACACAGCAGCTGCAACAATGGGCTGAACCACAACAACAACTGTGAGGATGGCACCGGACTGGGCGGTGTTTTGTTCTGTTGTACACAGGGCTGCTATGAGTCAGAACTGACTCGATGGCACCTAACAACAGCAACTGATAACTGGTGTGGTTTTTGTTTGTCTGAGTGGACACTGACTAATTCACCAGCCTTTTCAAATCCAAATCCCAACTCTTAACCACAGACCTGAGGTATGAGGGCTCAGCAGAGGTGTAAACAAGAAATAGATTATAATGCATTCGAATTCTTGATGGGACATGAAGCCGATTCAACCTTAAACTTAATTAGAAAGCTGGTCACAACAACATAATAGAAATGACAAGTCCAATTTTCCATATAACAAAAGTAAAAGCAATTGTCTGGGGTTCCTTTGAAGAACTCTGATCCCAGCCATGAGTTCCCAAATGGGAGGTGAGAGTCCCTGACTCTGGTCCTAGTCCTCCCACTGACATCACTGAAGGCCTGAGGCAACCGACTGACTTTCCTATGTTCTCCATGAGAGCTGCCTCATCTACAAAGGAGATAATAGCTCATTTAGCCTACACCAGATGTATCAGGAGTCACGGTACAGTCAAACATAAAACCTTCTTACTGACAGCTTAAACATAAACCTAAGATGACTTAACTTTGACATATTCAATTTTAAGAACAGGATGGTTTTTTTGCTTTGATTTTTAAGGAACTGTGTGAATGCAATAACCTGTGAAAATGATAAACAAATGTATACTCTGTCTTTGAGAAGACTTACAGGTGTGGCTGAATTCTGCTGGTGGGTCAGAGTCCAAATTTCTGGAAGTGACCTTTCTATCAGCTGCAGAGTATCTTCAAAGGCCTTTTGTAATTCCTTTGCTTGCTCGTCAAACGCAAAAAGAAACAGCATCTTTAAAATATGGTGTACCTCATCTAGAGAGAAGAAATTAGAGATACTGGTAAGCTGAGTCCGAGCCCCACTGCTAGTATCACACCACAGTTTCTGTCCTATGCAAAAAATATCTGCACTACTGCTGCTATCTCCCACATTTTCTTCTTTCTTCCCAAATGCTGGGGTAATTCGACATATCTACCATAAAAAGGAAAACACACACACTGGGCCAAGCAGGAACCAGTGCCTCCACAACCCTTTATCCTGGCTTCAGTGCTCATCTCTCACATTTCAGTCCTGTGGATACCAATGCAGGAAGGCTTCTCAGTTACAGCCGAGAAGGGCTGTTCCAGGAACGTGCCCTTAAGTGACCCTTCCTGCTGAAAGTGTTCTGTCTCTCCTGAAGTCGGGAACTGCATCTTCATTATCAACTGGCCTCTGCCTGTCTGCATTGCCCGTTTAATATTTTTTGTGGGCAAGAGGCAGCATCAGGATTGAGAATCTACCTTTCAGTTTTTCAATGCTCTGTACCACCTCATTCAATGCCTCCAACAGGGCCAGATCCTCCAGTGGACTCCCTTCTTTGAGGCTGTGCTTCTTCCGCTCTGCTTTGCGGCGATTCTTAGATGATCGCCTGTTAGAAATCAGAGAAGTATTTAAAGTAGGACTCTCCCTGTGCTGAAAAGACTAAATGAATGTATCTGTTGGCCACCTCCTTTCTAGGAAACGAGAGTCTATAAATGGTATTTGAATTTGGGGGAAAATGGTGACAAGACGTTAAAGCCATACATAAAAAAAATTGGGAGAGGTAAGTCCTACAGGCAGGAAATAAGGAAAACCCTAAAAAAAAGCCATAAAAAGAGTGATGTTTTGCCCCAAAGTTCTGATTAAGATGCAGAGCAAATTGAGGCTGATTCTGATAAGAGTTGGAAGAAGGAATTAAAAGATCAACCAAAGGGAATTTTATAATAAAAAACTAAATAAATATAAAGGGAGCAAAATAAAACTTAAATAACGAGACAGACATACCAGACGGGAATCTGAATATTATTATTTCATATATATATATATATATAAAGCCCATTCTTTCCTGCCTCAAAAAAAAAAAAAAAAAAAAAAACCTGTTTTCAAGTCAATTCTGACTCATAGCGACCCTATAGGACAGAGCAGAACTGCCCCACAGTTTCCAAGGAGCGGCTGGTGGATCTGAACTGCTGACCTTTTGGTTAGTAGCCATAGCTCTTAACCACTGTGCCACCAGGGATCAACTTTCCTGCCTCAGAGCTCTTCAATTCTGCCATTAGAGTTGTCTGATATTCTCCCTCCCTGACTCTTAAAAGCACAGTTCTAGTTTTTAAACTTTCCTGCAGTTTCTGATCACCCACACAACCTCACAGATCTCCATTCTGAATTCCTAAAGCACAATTCAATTTAAATATACAATCTTGCATTCTTTTATGTCTCCTAAGCAGGACTATTAAGCTCTTGTAACTGGTATCGTGTTGGTAACATCCACTGCAGCTAGCATACCAGCACATGGCTGTGCCCACAGAAGTGGTCTGCCAATTGCTATACTGGGTAAAAGTGCACAGAAAATTTTATGTTTATAATTTCTTCTAGTTCTGATTTTGAATTGAAGAAGCCTAAAATCTTTTTTTTTTTTTTAAATAATCTTTCATTTTTTCAGTGTCTACACATTATAGTTGCTCAACTAGTTGCTGAATGAATAAAATCAGGTTGTATATAAATGAGTACCCAGTGCAAGTGCCTCACAGGCTGGGCAAACACAAGAGCTGCAGACTGCATGTAATCTTTTAGATACACTGGGAAAGTCCCCGCACAACTCCCACACTGTGTGAATAATGTCCATCTACCCCTGCCTCACTTTCCTGGTGGAAAACCAACCTACTTGCTTGCACTTTCTCCATATACCTAGGAGATGGCCAAGGTGCTGAATAAACATGATACATACGCCGATATCCTGGAGTTACTGTGTGAGTACCTGCCACTCACATCACTGCCACTCATGACACTGCTAGTTTCAGAGAAGAGGTCTGACTCTTGAGCATGGGGCCCCTCATCATCTAGAAAAACAGAACCAGAAGCACGATGAAAACTTTCCTTGCCAATGCAGGTTTATCTTCAGTGAGTAAACGGAATACAGTCAACTGGGGCATATCTAAGGATGGATGAAACTTATTACAAGTTGATCTCAAAACTAAATAAGACCATATTAAATACAGTTATTATTACTGCAAACCAGTAGTTTACCAAACTTTTTTTTAGCAAAGGAACCTTTGGAAATGAAGAAACTCACTTTTTAAACAGAGAAGTGGTCAGCTGCTCTGGCTGGAGGGGATGGTGGGGTTTTGGGCACAGCCCTTGCACTCATGCTCTGCCCTCCCCCCAACACACATGAACACAGTCATGCACAGCCCCTAAGGGTTTCACAGAGGCCTCAGACTTCCCCATGGCACAGTAATCAAATTGCAGGGGAATACCAAGCAGCTAAGACAAAGTGTGATGTTGCCCCCAACCCCAAGCATCAGTGGTCTTCATGCAGACACTCACCCAGATTCCCCTGCTGTGCTTGCTCCTTGAGCTCTCGAACCACCAATAAACGCTTCTTATGGCAACTGAATGTGGCTGTCTGAGAGTCCAGAAATGCCATGTAATTCTTCTGGGCTGTGGAACAGAATGCAAATAATTTGAGCATGGTGTTTAAGCAAAAAGGAAAAACTGCGAGGGGGTGGGGATGGGAGTTGGAATTTAACAGGCTTCTAGGTTTTCTAGGCAAGATTTTTTTCCTTAATGAGCATTAACCTACAAAGTTTTAGGAGAATGACCTGGAGATTGAGAGGCCAGATCTCAAGTGTTCATCAACATAATCAAGCTGATGTCCTTCTTTTCCATTTTGCTTTTGAGGGGTCACAGCTGACCACCAGAAGATTCTAGAGCTGGTAATATTCATCTGTTCTCTAGGAACCATGAACTTAAATTTGCAAAGGTTCTTCTTTATTTTTTAAAATTTTAAACCTACATGAAAGTTGCATTTGTTCAATGAATATAGATATACCCTTCACCTAGATTTACCATTTGCTAACATTTTGCCGTACTTGCTTCCTTTTTGTTTCTTTGTGGAAACTTTTGAGAGGAAGTTGCAGATATGATCTTTCACCACTGAATACTTCAGCATGTACCTCTTAAGAATAAGGATATTATCTTACATAATCACAATACAATTATTAAATGCAGGAAATTTACCACTGACCCAATACTATTATCTAATATATAGTTCATATTTAAATTTACCAAGTATTCCCACATACAAAGATTCTTAATTGTATCTTATTACAGGTTTGTAACATTCAAATATTTTATGTGTTACCATTTAACAGTTTAGCATATTAAAAAATTCCAGTCAAAATTAAATGTTACACCCAGTGGAGAGTTTTTATCGATTCCATGTAATAAAACATTATTAAGGAGTACTCTTCTCTCTCTCTCCCCTCCCCATCTCTATATGTCCAAATGAGAAATTCTATCTAAAAATATTACCCTTACCTTCTAAAATGGAAGGTTTTATGTTGGTTTCTATGATGTCTAATCTGTTATATTTGTATACCTGAAAGGAAAAATACAATAATTTTAGGCAAAAAGACTTTCAGTCAATGGAGAGTTAAGACTCTTGGGAAGAAATGGATCACTTCCAGAGGTGACCAAGATATTTCTCAGAGCAGGCCTCTTACAAGGCAGCTGTGATGGTGTGTTAGCTTGGCTGGGCCAGGATTCTCAGTGTTTATATGTGATCGCTCCCATGACTGAATCTGCTGTGAGTAGCCAATCAGTTGAAAGGGAGTTTCCTTGGGAGTATGGCCTACATCCAAATATAAGCAGACATTCTGGCTTTTGCTCACTCTGGATCCTGCAGCTGCCTCCTGTTTGTGTGACCTTTAATTCTTGGGACTTGAGCTATCAGCTTATCTGCTGATCTTGGGATTACTCGATCTTCACAGCCTGTGATAGGGAGCCCTGCTCTCCAATCTGCTAACTGTGGGTTTGCCAGCCCCTGCAGCTACATGAATCAAGAGAAGCCTTGCAGACTTGCCTGCCAATCTTGGGATTCATCAATATTCACAGCCTGTGAGCAAGAGCCCTGTTTTCCAACTGGCCAATCTTGGGTTCGCCAGCCCCTGCAGCTACGTGAATTGGGAGAAGCCTCTATCCTAACCCAAAGACTTGGGACGTTCCAGCCTCTACAATCACGTGAGCTATTTCTTTGATATAAATCTCTCTATATATATATTTACATGCTTTACTGGTTTTGCTTCTCTAGAGAGCCCAGCCTAAGACAGCAGCCAAAGGACAGTCAATTCATTTCAGCAAAAACAGTACTATGAATCTGGAGGACAGACGAATATCCAATATTATCAAAAATAAATTTAAAAAAATGGGTTTAAAAACACTGCTTATACTTAGGCCTGGAACCTGAACTATTTCTGCTTAAATTCACTAGCATCACAAGACAAGGGATTCCAGCCGACTTCATCTCCTTTGTTCTTTCTCTGCTTAGCACCCAACGCAAGGAGACATTTAAAAAATTCTCGTACCATTCTCAGAGCTTCTTCCCAGGCAGTTCCATCTAACAGCAAGAGCACAGCTTCTTCATAATCCTGACAAGGGAACATCAAGGAAGATAACAGGTTAATACAGCAAGAGTATCAGATGCCACCATAAGAAATTGCACAACTGCCCTCAGAGCTGCCTCTGTCCACCCCAGCCTTATCAGTTATAGTCTCAGTTCTTAGCATTGTGCCTGGCCTCGAGTCCAGGCTCAACAAATACTAACTCAGAAGACAAAGGAGGGGTGTGTATTCTGGAAATAATAATAAAACACATGATAAGGATCATCTCTCTACATCCCTGGACATCAAAACCACCAGAGGTCTTTTAGAAATGCCCATTTCCCCAGCTTCACCACCAAGTTTGACTCAGCAAGACCACACTATGAAGATGACAGATTAGAAACTGTAATCTTCTAAACTTTTTTTCCTTTATTTTTTCTGTAACTTTTTACTTTGAAAAATTTGAAACCTCCAGAAAACTGAAAAATACATTATGTACCATATAAACCATATGAAACAATACATTTAAATAAGATGAAATATATAAGACAACTGGCTGGGTTTCCTCAAATAGTCACTGTCATAAAAAGGGGAGGGAGGATCCATGTTAGATTAAAGGAGATTTAAAGGACACAAGATACGAAATGCAATATATGGCCCCAGACTGAAACCTATTTAAATCAAATATACTGTAAAGAACACGTTTAGATCCACTGGGGAAATCTGAATACTAATTATTAGATAAAATTAAAATCTTTTAACAAGGAAAGATGGGGATCATAATACAAGCAAAGAAAATTAAAAAACAGCACATAAATCATAATTTCATTTTGGTTAAAAATACATACATAAGCAAAGAAAAAACTGGAAGGAAATATAATGAGGTGCTAATAATAGCAATCTCTGAGTGGTGGGAATAAGGTGTTTTCATTTTCTTGTATTTGCTTATCAGCATTTTAAATAATATACAATACATACTACTTTTATTTTAATTTAAAAAAGAAGTAAAATTAATACAAGTAGACATTCTAGTATTTTCTTTCTACACCCCAATGGATTCTCTTGCACCAACAGGCATATACCAAAAGTCCACAAAAGGGAGTAGTAGGATGTATTTTGTGCTCTAGTATTTTAAAAATAAGCAAATATCAAATAAAAATCCGTATTTCCAACTTGTCTCAGAAGCATGGCAAGCAACCACTGGTGGAAGCAACTTCCCTTACATCAGTATGCAGACAGCCGTCTACCACAATCCCTACCACTCCGTTATACCTGGCCTACTCATTAACATCCTTGCAACCGTGGTCTAAACCTTATTTTTTAAAAAAAAGGAGGAGGGGAAAGCAAGAAAAACACCTCTAGCTTCCCATGTTCTATCTTACTTAATTCTATGAGTTTCTGAAATTTCCTTCATGTTTAAAGTCCAAGACTATTTAAAGAAATACAAGAAATCCATTATGTGACAAAGTAAAATTCATAATGTCCAGCATCAAATAAAAAATTGCCTGGCAAAGATGCAGGTAAAATCAATCAGTAGACTCAAATCCAGAAATGGCCGAAATGATGGAGTTAACAGACAAGGATGATAAAAGAGCTATTCTACCTCACAGATCTTCTAATTATTTAGAGATGTATTGAATTTAGATTTCCAAGTGAAGCCAGCAAGATGGAAATACCTTCAAGGCAAATACTCTCTGTACTTAATAACTACCCACCCTTCCTTTAACATTCCCAATCTGTAACATTCGACTGAGAAGTCCTTGCTTGTTGACAAGGGAGGTTTCAGAAGGGAGGAACTGAATTTACCTGGGCGTATTGTTCCAAAACTGTGGCTGCATCACTGTGCTTCCTCTGCTCAACTAGCTTTCCTGCAAAATTAATAATAAACATTTGACCAGAGTTGGCTTAAGAACAGTATTCCCAAAACTCAAGTTGAAAGTTTTTGTTGGTACAAAATAGTTTTGTGGGCTTAAATCATTTAGAATTAAAATAATATTTAAAAAATTAGAGATTGAGCTCTACAGAGTATATATTCAAATAGAACTGCTTTAAAACAGCACTTTCAAGTGCTCCCTACGGCTGTTCCATGGGATAATAAGACAGTACAAAAAGACTCCATAGTCAAGTACATTTGTGAAGTAATGGGTAAAACAAAGTTAGATTCTTTTACTAAAATGCTTCTTCAATATACCTTTATAATGTACCAAACTATGTGCTTTGTGAATTTCTGAGGGAAAGAGGTAGACATACCATGGAGTGCTATCTCAAGTGGCAGTTAGAATCTAAATTTAGCACGAGATGTGAAAACCACGTATAGTCAAAATTAGCCTTGAAAAATGCTTGAAAAACATGCATATGGGAAACTGACAGTATTGCTCACTAATCCATTTTTTTCCCCGAATAAAAAGAAACAAACAAAAAAGACCCTGTTGTTGCCAAGCTGATTCTGATTCATAGCAACACTACAGGACAGAGCACAACCACCCCCACAGGGCTTCCAAGGAGCGGATGATGGATTTGAACTGCTGACCTTTCCACTAGCAGACAGGCTCTTAACCACTACACCACCAGGGCTCCCTCTAATAGAACCAAAGCCAAAACCAAACCCACTGCCATCAAGTCAATTCCGAAAGACACTGCTATGTCTTTGGTTGAGCACTAGAGGGAGGTAGCTGGCTTATGTGTGGGGGTCATGTGGTGTCTTCACTCTCAGCCCAGTTGAGACTATCACACTTAGAGAGGCACACAGGACTGGAGGCTGGCCAAAGGAATGGCAGATCTGCTCCCATCTCATGCTCATTCCAGGACATATCATCACTGAAAAAAAATAGGTAGAATCACCTCTGCTACAAGCAGTCCCCGAGTTACGAACATCTGATACACAAACCGCAGTTATGAACCAACCCCTAGAAAGCCTATTACATTAAAAATTCAAAGTACAGCATAACTTAGTTTATAAAGAAAATGTTCTACACTCCACTTTGGTGAGTAGCGTCCGGGGTCTTAAAAGCTTGTGACTGGCTATCTAAGATACTCCACTGGTCTCACTCTGCCTGGACCAAGGGAGAATGTGGAAAACCAAAGACACAAAGAAAGATTAGTCCAAAGAACTAATGGACCACAACTACCAGAGCCTCCACCAGACTGAGTCCAGCACAACTAGATGGTGTCTGGCTACCACCACTGACTGCTCTGACAGCGATCACAATAGAGGGTCCCAGGCAGAGCTAGAGAAAAATACAGAACAAAATTCTAACTCACAAAAAAAGACCTGACTTAGGCGACTTCCGGCAAAATGGCGCTCTAGGCAGAAGCACCATGCCGTCCCTCCACAGCAAAGATCCGAAAAACTAAGCCGAACAGAGAAAACAACAATCCTGAAACCCTAAACCATCAAATGCAGAAATAAAGAACTCAGCCAAGCACCAAATGGAGTGAGAAAACTGACAGAGAATGGAGAGCGAGGAGAGATTCATGCAGAGGTCCCCTATCAGCTAACGCAGCGCGGATCCGCCATCTTGGACTCCTATCGGAGACCAGCAAACAGGAGATACAAGAAAGCAGCTTCACAGAGCTTCCAGCGGGAGACAAAACAACTGGTAATTTGCGATATATGCTTTCCCACCCCCCACCATTCCTCACCTCCACTCGGCCTCCTCTACTTCCCGTGGCCACAATGTCCTGTCCGGGAAGCACTGGCTGCTTGGATTCCACCCAACCGAACGGGCCGGCTCTCTGAGTGCCATTTGTTGGCTGCTGGTGTTGCTTTTTTCCACTTCTTTTGATATCTTCCTTTACTCTTACCACCTCCCCTCCTTTCGCTCAAATACCTGGCTCCGTGCGCCATCTTTGCTTCTTCCTGAGGAACTGCAGAGCTCCGGTAATTTGTGATATACCCTTTCGCACCCCCCACCCTTCTTCACTCGGCCACCTCTGCTTCCCGCGGACACAGTCTCTTGTCCAGGAAACACCGGCTGCTTGGATTCCACCAGCCCGCACTGGCTGGCTCTCTGAGTGCCATTTGTTGGCTGCTGGTGTTGCTTTTTTTCCGCTTCTTTTGATTTCTTCCTTACTTCTCACCACCTCCCCCTCCTTTCGTTCAAAGACCTGGCTCCGTGAGCCATCTCTGCTTCTTCCTGAGGGGCTGTGGCGCTCCATTCGAGTGCGGAGCTGCTTCCCCGTATGGGCTGCCGCGCTGGTGGGATCCCGGGGCTTTTGTTAGTTTGTTTGTTTGTTTGTTTTGAATTGTTTGTTTTCTTTCTCTTTTCTTGAGTTGGGAGCCCGTTCTGGCCAGGCGGTGCTGCGTGGCTTGGAAACTACCCCCTCAGCTTGCAGAGATGTGCAGAGGGATCCCTGAGGACATTTCTTTTTTCATTGGTTTCTTTTTTTTTTCTTTCTGTTTTTTCGGGGGCTTTTCTTGTTCTTTTTTTTTTTTTTAATTTATTTTGTTTTCTTTCCCCTCTTTTTCCTTTCTTCATTACTCAGTTTCTCGTCTCTCTATACCTTCCTCCTCTTTCTATTCCCTGAATACCTGGCGTTGTATACCTCTACACCTTCTAGCCAGGCTGTACTGCAACACCTGAGAACAACTTCCCCAGGCCTCATAGCCGCACCAGTGGGATCCCTGGGAACTCTGCTGTTCTTTAACCTTACTGATTTTTATTTATTCCTTCTTTTCTTTTCTTCCTCTTTTCCTTTTTGTTTTTCTCCATTTCATAGTCTCTCATCTCTCCACTCCAACGGCAAGCTCCCCTAGTATTCTTTTTTGTTTGTTTGTATGTTTTTGGCTCCTGTTCCTCTCCCCTCTCTCCCATATCCATCTTAGCTCCGCACATAACAATCTCCCCGCTACATCCGGCCTATCTCCACCATGCGCTTAACATCACACCACCAAGCAGCACAGGCACAGCCTACTGGAACCTACCCTGCACTGATTACCGACCCGCCCTGGTGGGTTCCAGAAAAAACCCGTCCCAGTAACTCCTCTTCAGCTAGACCTGCCCTGCTGTACCATATCTGAGCGACTGACCCCGCCAATTGGAGAAGGAGGTGAAAAGTGTTGTGCCCACAGACAAGCAAACAACAAAGAACACACAGCCCACCTGTTCAAACCCAAATTAAAACAAAAAAGGGGTGAAACAAACAAATCTACAATCAAAAAACGAGAAAAATAACTACTGAATGCCCCGAAAACAGCAGACGATATCAAAACATTTACAAAAAACGACAGGATGGTTCCAGTAGGCATCCAAAATAAAACACCAGATGACTTTCCAGTGGAAGAAAAGGCACTATAACTACCTGATAGGGAATTCA